AGGGATTAGTGGATATATATATAAATAGTGACTTTTGCAAGAACATGAATGTTTTAGTTTCAGAGTTTCACAAAGCAGTAGAATCAACATTAAATAAAACAATTATGAGATTAGCATGAGCATTAAATTTAAGAGCTTATGCAACTAGGGAGTTCAGTGATATTCATAAAGAAGCTCCAAAGTGTGACACTCATCTGAGTCTTTTTTGCTTATTTATTATTATTATTTTACAGACAGGGACTTGCTGTACCTCCCAGAATAGAGTGTAGTTGTGGGAATAGTTCACTGCAGCCTTGAACTCCTGGGCTCAAGCAATCCTTCTGCCTCAGCCTCCAGAGTAGCTAGGACCACAGATGCATGTCACCATGCCTGGCTAATTTTCTTTCAAATTTTTTTGTAGAGATGGATTCTCACTATGTTGCCCAACCTGGTCTCAAATTTTTGGCCTCAAGTGATTCTCCATCCTGGGCCTCTCAAAGCACTGGAATTACAGGCATAAACCCAGTTGGCCCTAAATCTTAATTTATGAAAGAAATTCTAAAGCCAGTAAATGAAGCAAGACTTTTTTAGTAATAAAGTGTTCAAATCAAATCTCAATTCAAGGCTGGGCAAGTTGGCTCATGCCTGTAATCGCAGCATTTTGAGAGGTCTAGGTGTTTGGACTACCTGAGGTTGGAAGTTTGAGACCAGACTGGCCAACATGGTGAAACCCTATCTCTACTAAAAATACAAAAAATTAGCTCAGCGTGGTGGTGGGCACCTGTAATCCCAGCTATTTGGGAGGGTAAGGCAGGAGAGTCAGTTAAACCCAGTAGGCAGAGGTTGCAGTGAGCTGAGATCAAGCCTGGGCAACAAGAGTGAAACTCTGCGTCTAAAAAAAAAAAAAAAAAAAATCCCAATTCAACCTTCTGTGAGTCTCCCTCTTTATTGTCTCAGAGAAAATATCTACATCACAGGGTTGAGTGAAAAACATGATGTAAAAAAGAAAGCTCTAGATATTCAATAAATGATGGTTACTATCAACTCATTCCAGTAAGTCTGGATGACAAAGAAATGGGCTAAAATCCTTTCTGTTTAAAAATGTCATAAAGGTTTTTGTGCTCCTACTTATAACACACTATGACTCTTCATGCAACAAGCATGTATTAAGCACTGATATGTCAAGTTCCATGACTGTAAAAAATACTGCAATAATAAGCAGCGTGCATCTCAACCTTAAGGAGAATTTGGCTTCATGAGAAGAAAATAAGTATTGACAGGTTAAGATAACTTCTGGCTCTTCTAGGTGTACACTGTCAAAATGAATTTCACTTCTCACACGTTTCTAAAATTAATTAAAAATTTAATAAAAATTAATGAAAACTGAAAACTTTCAAAAATTATAGCTTGAAAAAGTGTTAATATTACGCATTTTATTAGCATGAGAATAAGAGTTTCCAAATTATGTTAGTTTATCTAAAGTGGTTTTTATACCCAGATAAAATTTTACCACTCAATTTGTATGGATTAATTCATTCTATAAACTTCTTTAAGGGATTCTATTGTTAGTAATGCTTAAATTAGTAAGTACATTCAGATATTCAAGTTGTTATACCAAATTCAGTTGAAATTGTTATTCAATTTTACTAAAATATTAGTGAAACTATTTCTTAAAATAAATACGGCATATAAAGGAACGATGTTGTGTTAAGAAAGTTACAAATTTACTTGGAACTAAATTTGAGAGATCCTCTAATTTATAAATTTGATTGGATCAATTAATAGCAGAGCAACACTTTGAGGTTAGGAGAAATTTAATCCTTGTCTTCAAAGCCAAAAGGAGTTGGCTAATTCATCTAACAGTGTAAAATGGACAGCAACATATGTTCCTCATGGAGTCCTATTGGTCAATGAAAAGGCATTGATCTACGAAACATGAAAATATTCTAAAGTCTTGGCAGATAAAAATAAGTATTGATCACATTTTTAAGACATATGAATGAGGAGTCATAATCACTCACTACTGATATATGCTGAGTTATTTATATAAAAGAATAGCAGTTACAAGATTAAATCAGTCCTCTCCCTAGACTGTTTATTTTCTTTCCAGTCTGTGAAAAGTTTGGACATGCTTATAAACTGAATGTTAACAAAAGAAAAAAAGCAATACATTTTTTACCTAACAGATGTTTAAACATTTATCTGTATTTTATTTTAAAACACATTTATGAATCAATTTTGACCATTTTTATCTTTAAACTGCTGGTATACTACTCTGTTTTTATTCACAAATATAATTCACGTGATTTTTTATGGAATGTGTGCATTTATAAATTTTTATAATTATTCTTGTTAAAACACTATGCTAAATAACATTTTTAATAATCTGTTCAGAAATTACAAGACAATATTCTGTTTTTAATATTTTAATAAAAAATTTAAAGTAAAAATAAATTATAATTTATTTTAATTTTATATTTTTAAGGAGACAGATTTACTTTAACGTGAACGTTAGTTCAGGTTTCACATAGATTCTCATGACACTATTAAAAATTGTTTTTCTGCCATATTTTCATTCCATTGACCAAGTTCTGATATAGTTAAATCTTCTATTCTCCATAAATTTATCATTAAGACCCTGACATTCAGATGACAAGTTATTTGCAGTGTGGTTTGTTTCTCATTGCCAATGACCAGGAGATTTAAAAAGATACCCATGCACTTCTCCATAAGCACTTTCTCTACAAATACTCCACTTTGTAGAGATGCTACCAGCAATGAGACTGTGGTATTTTTGTTTTTGTTTCTGAGAGTACCTCTTCTCTCTCACACCAACTGGATACTAAAGTACTAATATAGCAATTGACCCACCTGGTAAGTAATTTTGAACATTTTCTAACTTAGAAAGAGGTTAGTATCCCTGTTCCCAGCAAAACTAATTTTTAAGTCACACATTATATGCAGTGTAATAATCCAATATACTCTAAATGAAGTTGAACATGCTTATAAATTTATACTAATTTTAGCTATTAGTTATGATACATACTCAGTCCTGCAATCTTCTGAAAATGAGTTCAGGTAAACCTGAAAAACCTCATAATAAATTTGCTGACTCAGATCTATCCTCGAAAAAACAAATTTTTGAAACACCTGAGGCATGGTACTGTTGAATTAACATTAGGTTCCAATACTATCATTTTCTGTATTTTATTAAACAAACTTTCAGAAATTATCAGAGCCTTCATAAATATTTCCAATTGTGATTTTCACAGATTTGAATAATGATTTGAAGCTAAATATTTTTCTTTTTCTTTATGAACTTGGTTCTGTTTGGTGTTGTCTGGTTTCACAAATAGAAAAGAATATTTACCCCCCTTTAAGCTGTTGTATAAAAACTATAAGGAAAAAAGTTATTTGATTCTTGGGAAAGTCACAAACAGCAACTGCCTATAGAGTGAGGTTGTAAGTGAAATCCATATGTAATACCTCTGTCAGCAAAGACTTAGTGGAAGAGGGTTTATAATAAATATTCACATCTGCTTCTTTGGACACTCTAATCCATCCTAAGGATCTTTGCTGTGTCAGGCTTTGTTCTAGATGAAGAAGCCCAGTAGTTATAAAGGTTTACAAATAGGCTGTATTTATCATGGTTAGCTTTACTTTTATAACTTTTCTCTGTTTTAGAGGTATTCATGATTATTGGGGGTAAGATTTGTGATTAAATATTACACTATAGCTTTTATGGTGATATCATTTTAGAATTCTTATTATAAAATGGACCAATGCTATTTTCACAATACACCACTTACCTAAAATCTGTCAAGAAGGCATCATTGGCAACAATGCTATCCTGGCTATGGAAAACATAATGGCTTAAAAGCCCAGGCTCTGGATTCGAAGTGCTGTGATTAAATGCTAGCTCCTTCTATACCTACGGTGTCATTAGTTCGCCTTTCTAAGCCTCTGTTTCTTCACCTACATAGAGAAGTTAATACTATTTATCATTTGATTGTTGTAAGGATCATATGGAATTACCCATATCAAGCACTAAATATGGTATCTATCACATTAAAAGAGTTTAATAAATTTTAAATATTATTACTGGAACAATAATATGCCTTCTAAGTGTGATTAACTACTCCCATGGATAGTACTAATGTCATACTTATTTACACTAAGTACTGAGCTTACGTAAACACATTCTATTGCTTTTACTTACCTCCAAGTCCCATGATAGTTTGCTACTGGACTTCCTTAATAAAAATATTAATTAAAATTGGATCCCTGATTTGTTTTCACTTTGAGGAAATGAGTCTCTATAAAATATATGGTACAAAAATTATGCAAATATCCTGTGCTGTATTTTTTTTAGAAAAAAAATTAACAAAATTTGAATTCTAAGCTACAGTAAAACCTCCCAAGTCCTTTTTAAATGGAAGTATTTATTTCCACTTCAGCTACAAAAAAAAATTTTTGAGTTCATGAGTATCACAATTTTTAAAGCAGGAATGTATATTATTAAGTTGCAAGTAATGACTAACATAATTATAAAAAGTAAGTTTAAAGAAGAATATAAATTTTAAAATATAAATTATCCATATAGATACAGATATATGTGTTTTCCATAAACTTTGAAAGCTATGCCTTTTAAAACTTTTAAACATATAATTTATTTGAAAAAGAAAGCTGCTTTGCATAGTTGCTTTCAAAATCATCTCCTCAAAATGCTTTATTAATCACAAATAAAAAAGAATAGTAGGACATTTGAGGAACTCTGCAAATAAAGGAGACAGAGCATTAGGCTTTATGTCCCAATTCAAAAATGTTATAATCTAACGATTGATGTGTCTTGATTTTGACTCAATGTATTTCTTATACCTACAGGAGCTACTTCATATTTAATAACTGACATCTAACACAGAATGATAATTGAAAGAAAATAGAATGCTTCATTGCTTATAAACTGTGAACGCTGAAATAAAACTTTGATTCATTCTCTCTCTCCTCTCTGTCTCTCTCAGGTCGAGTATTAGCTCAGGCAAGTGGCAATGGTGTTATCCATCTTCTAGATCTTAAATCTGGGCAGATTCACAAATTGCTGGGCCACGAAAGAGAGGCGCACACAGTTGTGTTTTCTCACGACGGGGAGATTCTGTTTTCTGGAGGCTCTGAGGGCACAGTTCAAACGTGGTCTTGACGGTCAGCATATCCCGCTGTGGAGGGTATTCCCTTTAAGGCTTGAAAATGCCTCCTGTAGTCCCAAACCAGTAAATAACTGGTTAAATGTGCCAGCAGGTAACATTTACAGTTTGCTTTAAAACGTGCTTTGGACATATATTTTAGTGCTTATACTGTTACTAATAAAAAAATAACTTTATGCTCACTCATTTGTGTCGGGGTCTTTTTTCTCTCTCGTTTTGATCAGAATTTAGAGACACGGCATCTTTGCTAGGGGTTTTGAAAGAAACAGCTTTACAATGACGCCTAATGACAGACTAGATGAATTACAGGAGATTGATTTTTAATGTTAGAGAACAAACTGCAGGAAAACCTGGCTACTTTTTTTTTCTTTTAAAATCAGATCCAAGCTGCAGGAAGACCTGAAGTTTAATCATGCAGCACCGGGCAAGTCTTTCTCCTACCAAAGGGTCAAATAGAATCTACGAGCATACGTTTTTACAGATTCTTTGACAACGATTATGCTTTATCTATTAATAATAATCAGGGACTGCAGATGGCTTAAATCTAAATGCAAGCCTCTCCCGGAACTTTCATCTCTGCAGCCCATCCAAAATGCGTTAGGTATAATGACAATTTTTCAGAAAAAAAATTTTATTTGTAATTTCAATGTAAATAAGTATCTCTCACATAGAATGCCTTTACCCCTCCTGATGCACGCATCCGCTGTATAAAGTGCGACTGCTTGGAGAGCACTCTAGCCTCGTCTAAAGCAGCTCGGGGATTTCGACAGAGCTGGGCTCAGAAGCCAGTTGTTGGCGCTGTCCGTGGTGCTGAGGAATTCCCGGCTGCCGGCAGAATGAGCTCCAAATCAGCAATCTGCAAACTGCTCTCAGTGATGCAGAAACCCAGCTAAAGTTGCTCCTTTCCTTCACGTCCACAGTTAGTATTCTCCGGCGTGTAAGAGGGGATTCAAGCAACATACTGTGGACGATGGTGACGGTATTGCCAGCGGAGTGGGCTTTAAGCTACAGCATGCTGTTGCTGTTTGTGATCCTCAGAGCCTAGCCAAATCACCTCTACTGCCGTAGCAAACACTGTGTAAGTGAACTCATGTGTGGAGGAGGCGTAATCAGCCGGGAAATTTCATAGAAGGATCTAAGAAAATGCTAAAAATAAGTTCAACATGATTCTGCTACTGGGGTCTGGATTTCTACAGGACCAGCATTGCTTCTTGCTTTGAATTCTGAAGACCGGTCCAAAGCAAATTTCTCATGTGTGTCTGCTGTGTTTCTTTCTGGAAGGGCGGGAGACTGCTTCTTTACTGTGTTTTGAAATGGGAGGTAGAGAGAATGGATTGCCTTTAATTCATGCCTAAAAATGTATTCTTTGGGTAATTAAAGAAGAACTGCTTTCCTAAAACATACCTGACCTTTTAGTTCATTTTGGGCTGTGACCCCTACCTCCACCATTAACCTCCAGAGTGATTAGGTAAGTGTATCTTATGATATGAGTTATGTTTGTTTTCTCAAAGAAATAGATGCAGTCATTTTAAATCATATGTAGCAATATGGGGAGGGGGGGAAAGTTAAGATGGGAAGTGATCCTCAGTTTAGCAGTGTTTGCTTTCTTATTAAACATCTTCAGATACACATTATATTTGATGTCTCCAATGTTTCTTCTCTTAAATACATAGTGTCTTAAATTGTACTAGGGCAGCTCAATTATGAAGAAGGCTTTTTTTTAAAAAAAAAATAGCCTAAGAACTTAGTTATATTAAAAATAAAAGCTTGTTTTTTACCATGCAGATTTTAAGATATATTTCATATAATAAAAACATATTTAGTGTTGATATAAAGTAGACATTACATTCCTATTTTTACCTCTAAGTTTACATTTACCACAGCCTAACACATTAATGCCTACCTGTGGCTTACAAAGAGATCATTTTCTGTCTATGTCCCTTTGAAGCAGAATCGTATGTGTATTTTATATGGCTTATCTTGCATGTATTGACAGATACTGCTGGAATATTATAAGGAAGCACAGTTGCTTTCTTTTCCTCTAAGGTAAACTTTGTAAATATGTGATTATAAATGCTTGCTTTAATTAGTAAATTATATTTATGCTTTTTCAGAAGCTTCTGTTATGTTTGTTATCTCTGTAGTAATTTGAGAGAAAAAAATGCTTTGTCAAAGGGAGCTTCCAGATTCTCAAGTAGAATTATAGGTTTGCATTTTCTTGTTCTGTCATGACTCATTATTTTTGACATATTTTATAAGAAATCATCTGCTTTATTATTGCCTACTCAAAGGGAATTCTAATATCAGAGGATATCAGAGGAATTCTAATATCAGCTTTCTCTCTGAAAAGAAGGCATACTACCTTCCATTTTACTATTACTAGAATTTGCCTATCTACCTTAAAATGCAAATGTAATATAATAGTTTATGAAGTTTCCTAATATCATCTTTATCTTATTTTAAATTATCATTTGTATATGTAAAAGTAAAAAGAGATGGTTTTCATTGCTCTTAATATATTCTGAAGATAAACCAATGGATAACATTTATAACTGACCTGAAAATGTCCTATATACAATCTTAGTGATGTTGGCATGAAGCCAATCACATTTAAATAAACAAATAAGCTATTTGACAACAATTTTCCTTATTTATTGCTCCCTAAAGTCACAGTTTCCCCACAGCCTCTGTGTGAGTTAGTCATTCTAAATATTTAAATAGGAGCCCACTCCCAACACTTCACATCAATTACCAGTGCTAAGTGGAGTTTACAAGAGTCAGTGTCACAAAATTAATAAGGCATATTTTCTATGAATGGTTAACATTAATTACTGTTTTAAGCAACTTCCATAAACAGTTTTAAGCTGACATCTTTGTGCAAATTTCCTACATGCAAATATTTTTGACATTTCAAGAGTTATGTTTTCAAGATCTCATAAATTGTGACTATATTATATTGAAATGTTTAAATAATACTACGTATCTACTAGATTTAAGTTACTGTGAAATAAATTTATAGATAGATCTCTCCTGCCCACTAGGAGCTTACTTCCTATGTAAAATAATGTGGAAAAGAATACAAATACATTTGTTTCTAACAATTTCTTTTAAGCACATGGAATTCTCTTATATTTTATCTCAATATTTCAAATTTTCTCTTGTATTATTTTATTTCATTATTTCAAGTTTTCTTTCTCTTGATCGCTAGGGAATAGTCAAGCTGTTTTTGTTATTAACTATATTTCAAAAATCCAGATTCATGTTCACTGAAACACGTAACTGATGTTGATACCATCATTGTTCTCCAGCTATGGGCATAAATAAGAAATCCTTTATAGTAGCTCCAACCTAATTATAATTTACATTCAACTGCTGGTTTATTCTTTTTCTTTTAGAATTAGATTTTTTCTCATTAACCTCTTGAGTTGATACAGATAATTATAACATATGTTCCATCACTGACTAGTCCAGTTTAAAGAAAAACAGAAAATGTGAGTTCAAATATTCTTGAGCTATTCGTAAGTTACTCCTTGTAATCACCTTTTGGGGCTCAGTAAAACCATTTCTTTGCAATTTTGACAAAGCCAGATGTTTGAAATTTAGAAGGAAAATTCAAGCTGAAGGTTCCTATATAAAATAATCTAAAAGGACAAATTTTAATGCATATATTGCCAAGTATCAACTCTCCAAACTTCACAGTAAGGCATAGATAGTTGCATGAACTTAGTCTATTTGAGGTCTTAGTGTCTTCAAATCTAACCCAAACAAACAGTTTAGGAGCATAGACTTAAATGAATCTATCTTCACTTTATATATGTCAAATTATTCTTTTTAAACATTTATTTTCAGCCTACCCCTCTTGTATTCCCATGGAAGGAGCTGAGTATATTTAATATTAGGAGCACATCCAGAAGTCTTTGAAGAGGGGGATGGCTCTTCATATTCATGAAGCTTGCATACTTCTGTTGGTCATCCCTGGATTGGTCACCTCTGCTGCTATCAGTCATGAAGACTATCCTGCTGATGAAGGTGACCAGATCTCCAGTAATGACAATCTGATCTTTGATGACTATCGAGGGAAAGGGTGTGTCGATGACAGCGGCTTTGTATACAAGTTGGGAGAACGATTTTTCCCTGGGCATTCCAACTGTCCGTGTGTCTGTGCTCTAGATGGACCTGTTTGCGACCAACCAGAATGCCCTAAAATTCACCCAAAATGTACTAAAGTGGAACACAATGGATGCTGTCCTGAGTGCAAAGAAGTAAAAAACTTCTGTGAATATCACGGGAAAAATTACAAAATCTTGGAGGAATTTAAGGTATGCGTTACCCTCCATATTTATTGAATATTAACTTTTCATACCACGTGCTTAGTAAATTGCTACATTAAAGCCAGAGTTGGGAAAATGTACTTTTTAATTTCCCTTTAAATTACAGCAATTCAATTCTAATTAGCATAAGTAGTGCCATGGTCAACAAATGGCCAGTTGGTTTGTTGATCATATTTGTTAAGTTTCACAATAACCTTTTTTTTTCCCAGAAGTATTTGGGGTATGCCTAACACCTTTTATTTTTGCCCTTAAACATTTCTTCTCTATTATTACAAAATATGTTTTCTGAGGGAAACAATTTTGTGTATAGTATATGTGTCTCTTAAATTAATTTTTAAATTGTCTTTTGTGTGTGTGTTGCTTATTAGCCTAATTTGAAGTCATTTAACGATACAGTCTAGAATTATGTGTTTATTGTGTGGAAAAGCTACAGAGACACACTTCTTAGCTGTGGTCTTCATATTAAGAAAATGCACTTGGCCTACTTTTTGTCAAGCAAGATCTTCATTCTGTTCTCTGCCCTTAAGATTTTTTACTTACTGGATTCCACAGAGAGCTCAACTTTTATCACAATCCATGTAAAGAGTAGTAAAAAAGACTGTAATCTTTTTCAGCCTATATGGTATTTTTTAGTTTTTCTCTTATGCTTGTGTCATCTTTTCAAAGTAGCTTGGAGTTCATTTTTATCTCTTACTGTACTTTCTTTTCTCCAATGGCTAGTTTTAATTGGGGTATCCTATAAGCCTGATCTGAACCCTGAAGGTATAAATACGTGAAAAATGTCCATCTTAAATGTAATGGCAGTTTGTGCCTTGGAGTGTCCGTCATACTGATGGCTTCATATAAAATGTTCCCATTTCATCTAACCACGTTCTGTGAAAAGGTGCTCAGACCTTAGAGGAAAAAGAAGATATAGGTAGTTTGCAGTGTGGGTGTCTATGCATGAGAGAAGACATTTCCATTATTAGCACTGGCCCAACTTCTCTCTCCTCAAGAGTCGAATGGTGCCAGAAATCAGTACATAGAAAAAAAAAGTTTCAACTGATCATCATTAGAGCAAACTGTATATTTGTAGTTAACTGTATTTGGTTCATTCCAGGTTGTGGGTTCAAGCCAATTCTAATTTACCCAAGAATACCCAATTATTTAAACTAGATTCCTTAGGACATGAGGGAAATTTTAATTATGACATTCAACTTCCTTAGACATGTTATTTTTGACTTTTGTCTTTCATGTATTATTTTATTACACAAAATTAAGAATTAAAACCATGAGAGTCTAATAAAATTATCATTGTTGACACCAAATAATAGTTGAGCATATAGTACATTTATTAATAGTTTTATGATCTCTAAAATGTTGTATATACTTTGGAATTACCTATTTTTAATTTCATCTTAATGGAAGTAAGTACGAGTACTCAAAACATTTGATTCTAGACATGGTTCTGGAGCCGTATCACCCTTTTCTAACATGCATTTATATCTAGAGTAGAATACAAAAAGGTATTGTAGGAACAGCATTTCATAACTAGCAAAAATACAAATAGAAGTTTTTGAGATTTATATAATTTGGTAATCTGTATTTAATAAAGAAAAAAAGAGATTGTCTAATTAATGCACTATTAAAAACACTATCGTTTTCCCTCTATTTATTAGATTTAGTTCACTACAAAGGTAATAACTATGTTACCATGTCAAACAATACAGAGATATTTAAAGGAAAAGTTAATAATTTCTGTACCCATTCTAGTTATAACCCTACTGTAATCCAATTAATCCCTAACAATTCTTTCCTAATATATGATGCATTAATATGCAATTTTTCACCTGACTTTTTGTGTCATAAATTTTTTGATGTGATTTTTAAAATGACAGATATAACCCTTTTTTTTTTTACAAGAATTGAGTCATGAAGAGCTTTAGAGACTATATAAAACAAATGTATAAGAATGAGAAACTGAAACCAAGAAAGTTTAAATTACTTATCCAAAATTGTCAAATTATTTACTTTAATATCTAAATGCTCCCATTCTAATAATACTATATAATCTCTCAAAACACTAAGGTCTGAGACCTGGATTCAAATCCCAAATTCATCAATTGGATATAAGTTTTTGAATGGAGTTCTTAAACTTTTTGAAACCACAGTGATATTGACTATAAAATAGCCATTGTAATAATCACTTTCCTTAGGAGGAGAGGTTGGAATACTTAATACTATATAATTTCTGTGAAGTCACTAACCTTGTGATGATGGGTACACATTAGGTATTAAATAAATGATTGTCCTCTCCTCCTTAACTTTAATATCCAGGGATTTACTCTAAATTCTAAATTCTTCTATGGCTTTGCCTACATTTTATAATGAAAGTTAAACTTTAAAAGACTTTCAAATGAAGAATTCTAATACCTTTTTAAAATTCTCTACTTATCCATATGAACCATATAACTCTAAGTAAATATTAGCCATGATCGGCCATCTTGATTCTCTTCCAACTCAGCTTGCAAGGAACAAGTAATTAATTATGAAAGATGGTAAAACTTTCATATAATAATGTTGATATGTTATTATGGAAGCTGTATCGAGATATTTTTATATACAACGTAATCACCCAATAAGAATTTATCAGGCTGTTCAATAGATAAGGTACTATGGAAATATTTATATTTGAAAGTAGGATATCTAGAAGCCAAAATTTCTGCTCACAAGAAAGACATGATCAATGTGAAGAGAGAAGGTAGGAAAAAGCAGTTAAAAGTTAAGTATATTATTATGAAGACCCAGTATAACTCCCAAGAGACTGTGGTGTCAGAAGCTTATCAACGTGGTATAAGGCTTGGTTAAGCAAGAGATTTTTCTTCAGGATGCTCACCCTATACACCCTGTAGAGTTGCCTGTTCTTCAAGAAGTACTTGAAATTGACCTGGGAAGGTTTAAATTCCAAAGAGGAAACTGCCAGAGCAATATCAGAGATTGGAATAAATACAACCTGCAAAGAGGAGGGAGATGGGAATGACTGGAAGCTAGATAATTACTAAAATGCTATCCTAATAAGAAGTAAATTCAGATATGTAATGGTGGACAGTGGATGGAAGGGCCTTGAGTACTGGGCCAAATATCTAGATTCATCTTAAGAATAACAGGAAATAAAATGCAGATTGTTGTGCACAGAGATGACCTAGTTACACATAAATAAAAAACAATGTCCTACATCCAAGCTCAGAATTGAAGTAAAGGGAAACTAATAGTGGAGGAAGGAAGTCTGTTACAGAAAAAAAAAAATGAGATACACAAGGACAAAGACATTCAGGACAGTTTTCAGGGTAAAATCTAATTCCCCTGCTATAGCCTAGATTCTACTCATTGGCCTCTCCAAATTCTTCCTACTCTTGGCGACTTTTCTTCCTTGTGTGTTTGCACTGCTGTTCCACAGTATGGAACACTTTTTCAACATGGCTCCCCTCTTTAAATCCTACTAGACCACTTCAAGGCTCCATTTAAATCTCATTTCAACTGGAAACCCCTTTCTGTCTGTCCTACCTCTTATTTCTCACACCGTATCACTCCTCTCCCATATGTTCCCACAGCCTGCGGTACACATCATCGAGAACAGTAATTGTTGTCTGATACTGTGAAGAGCTTTATGTATATTCTAACACATTTTATTTTGTAATAACACTGTGAGAATTATACTTTTATTAGCACTGTTTTACAGATAAGAAAACTGAAGCAGCAGAGTGTAAGTAACTTGTCCAAGACCACACAGCTGGAAAGAGGAAAAAGTAGGACTCCAAGCCAGGCAGCTTGGCTGCAGAATCTAAGCTCCTCACCACTTCTACTGCTCTATCCCACAATAATGCAATATATCACACTATAATGATATTAAATTATATAAAATATAATGTGAAATAATATAATGTGAAACTACTTGTCTCTTCCATTAGTCATTGAACCCTTTGAGGCTAAGGACACTGCTTTCTTTCTTCCTCCCCCTCTATTCCCCGCACCATATGACCTACGTAACAGTCACTCCATACATTTTTGGATGAATAGCATATCAGGTCAAATTATAATTCAACTTACAGGATAAAGAAGTTAGAATCTCTTTAAAATGATTTAGTTTCTGTTTATGTGTTGATCTCTTCATTTAAATTAGTTAAAGAAGCACTGGGACCTGACAAAAAAATGGTCTTTGGGCAGTTAAGATAGCATACGTTGTTCTCTTATGATGGGAATGCCTATTTTCATCCGCCTTTACTTTCTTCCTCTCTCAACCCCTTCCTAACCAAGGCTTGTCTTGGATTCTGTCTCCATCCCAGCTTTGCAATGACTACCTGGTATTTTGGCTGTACTGTCTCACTTTATGTAGTTGCAAACCATAAGTCACACTTCAATATTTTCTGATCACCAAATTCACATCTAAATTGATCCACGTGTCACCTGATCGGAAAAATAATATCATTTATAAAGGTTGTGGTTTTTTTATTTCATTTATTGATGCAAGCTTTGAAAATGAATTTATCTCTACTGTTTCTGAAAACTCTAAATTCTCCAGTGTTCTGGTAATATTGTATTAAGATAAAGGTCATTGTATAGTAGGTTCTCTCATCTTTCTTTTATGTGCATCCAGGCAATATGACACTGGAACCTACTTTTTAAGAAATAAAGCTTATAAATAATAAATTATAATAGCAGTTTCTACCAGAAAAAGTTTATTGAAAATGTAGGCTTAACTATCTTACGCTGAGTTTCTCAAAGGAAACTCAGTATTTTTATAACTCTGATTCTGCTAGAATTAGGCTTTTTGACTATGTCTTTATACTTTAAAATTTGTACTGATTTAGTTGTAGGTCATACACTGAAGGTTATACTACCTGCAGCTGAAAGAAATCTTTCAGCTTTTGCATAGCTTGTTTCATTTTAAAGTGATTTTCTGCAGTCAATTCCCCGTGTTCCTAATTCAGGATTTGGATTTACCCAAAATC